CCAGAACAACGCCATGAACAATAATACTCACTTTCTAGCACGAACTTGTCGTATATGATGAAACACGTTGATGATATCTCTAATACGTCGCGGTGCCTCTTCAATTTTCGATGCTAAGCAAAGAGCTGCCATTGCGGTATGTTCCATTGGAAGACGTACCAGTGACTTGGAATAATAAAATCTCTGGAACAACACCTGACCCGATGCCATAGCAACCTGTCAATTACAGCACAGTACAATAAAAATAGTCAAAGGTTTCTTATCGCACAGGGCGATCCAAGTTCGTGATTAAACTTTTCTTTCACCATAATTGAGGAAGAAGCAAAACTCGTCATACCTGTGGCACTTTCAACAAGATTCCGGCGGTTTGAATTAGTTCGCAAGCAACAAACCGAAGTTCAAACTCAGACTTCTCATCCAACCCATCCTCGTAACTGGGACTAGATGCCGTCTTTTCTGGCGGCAAAAGAACATTGTCGAGAGACAACACGATCTTCCCGTACGGCCGGGACACCATTTCCTCTTTTTCCATCTTCCCACTGAATACAGTACAGAAATAGCGATACACCGGAGTCTGGAACGAGATTTTCGGAATCATTCGTCAATACGCGAAATACCACACAACATCAGCACACAAATTAAATTCCATAAAACTTCAATAATCACACACACACACTCGAGAAAATTTTCATTTCAACCCGAGAGCACTCAAAATTTGGAGAAGGTTTTCTTGGACCCCGGAGCCTTCGTCACCTTCAACACGTTGAAACGCACGGTTTTCGCCAACGGTCGGCACTCGCCCACAGTCACAATGTCTCCGATGTGAACATCGCGGAAGCACGGGGACAAGTGCACCGACATGTTACGATGACGCTTCTCGAAACGCTTGTACTTGCGAATGTAGTGCAAGTAATCACGACGGATCACGATTGTCCGCTGCATCTTCAGCTTCATGACCGTACCTGTCAGAATTCGACCACGAATCGACACATTTCCCGTGAAAGGACACTTTTTGTCGATGTAGTTGCCGTCGATCGCCTGTAAGAGTAAAAAAAAAAAAACCTTTCATCGGAGAGAAACGAATTCGAACACCATCAAATCAGAACAAATCAATTACGGAACAGAAAAATCCGAGTTCGAATAAACTGTCACAACCTAATTTGGCCTACGTAATATGATTCATACAGTACTTCGATGCTCACATAACTTAGTCCGCAGTTGTGTACTCCTAGTTGAAATATCCGAAACGACCACGATTAAGACAGGTGTAAAAATTAAAATATTAATTCATGCGAACCCAGACATATCTGTACTTACAAACTACGTTCACCAGAAAAAAAGAAACTGACTTACATCACGGGGCGTCTTGAACCCCAAGCCAACGCTCTTGACATAACGAAGACCCTTTTTCCGTTTCGGCAAGGTCTTTTTCCTGTTCAAGAAAACAGTCGGTTGCTTTTGAAAGGCCCTCTCCGTCTACAAAAAATAAAACGCGATTAAATAACCTAATTCTAACCGCATTATAAGCAGCCCAACAAACCTGTTCCATTATCGAGACGGAGTTGTTCCGTAGAAACGAACAAAAATATTCACCAAATCTGAAAAAGGACAGTACCGCGTGTACATTATCATTCACACAAGCTTTTCGTCACAGAAATAAAGAAACATGGTCTTGAAACGCCTTTCTTCGGACGAAATCCAAGAACACACATGAAAAATGAAACAAAAACGTAGAATACATTGGACGCTGGCGGATGAGATCTCATTGAGGAGGACCTCCTCGGCC